TTTGGTTTTTCAACTTGGGTGAGCATGTTAGTATTCCTAAACCACGTCAAAAGCAGGGAAAGACAGGCTAGGAATGAACGGGGGAGCTATGGGCACATCAGGCAGGCAATGGGGAAGATACAGCTCACCAGTGAACTACCTTCTTCAAGCTCATTGTGTGGACCTGCGCCCTGTTCGCTGCCTCAGGAAAGGATGTGCAGTCAGCAGCTTCTCAGTGTGAGATGTCGCTCTGCTGGCTGTTAGACAAAACTGGAACATGAAATCACTTCCTTGGAGCAAGGCCGTAGAGTCTAGACAAAGCTGCTCAAATGGGGGGAATTAAAAAGAACAGTCACACGATTTCAGCACATTGAATCCTGTGTTCATGAATGGGATTCACCCACATTGAAATGCTGTACTTGAAATGCTCAGGAAAAAAACAATTCCTTTCTATTTTTTAGATGTTGAACTCATCCAATGATGGGCTCTGAATTATTCAACTAAAATGAAAAATCAAATTCTATAAAATGGTGAAGGGTATAAAGGCCGTATTCATCTGATCTTGGAATACTAGAGGGAGGAGGCACCTCTGGAGGCCTGAAGGAGATAGATTTTGGACAAAAAGAATTTGCTGCTTTACACATTAGGCAGAAGGAAATGGGACTCCGATGAAACTATGTAAATAGGCTCAGAGGTGGTTTAGAAATGGAAGCCAGATCAGAAGCACAGCTTTAATGGGAGGATAAGGAATTGGGGCTGGAGTAGGTGCTGCTGTAGCTCTCTATGGAGGAGGCCGGGCGGGCCGTGGCTCCTGGGAAGTGCCCGGTGCGGCGGGGACGACTCATTAGATGACACAGATCTTAGAAAGATTTCGTTGGAACCAAAAACGAATGTTCTAAAATGAAGACAATCTGGAGCGCCTGGCTGGCTTGGTGGGTAGAGCGTGTGACTCTTGATCTCGGGACCATGAGCTCGAGCCCCACGTGAGATGACTTAAAAATAAATAAAATTCGGACAATTATCAGAATTCTAGTAGGCATGTGAGCCTCACCTCTGAGCTGTCCCAGGGTGAGGAGGCGGGAGGCACACTCCCTGCTGGGGCCTTGCTCGTGATGGGGTCTGTCCTCTCCCTTTCAGCAGTTCATCAGGGCTCGGCCTCAGCACATTCCTCCTCCAGGTCCTACACTACGGGTTCAGCTTCCGCCCACAAGCGCCCGTCTGCCAGCCTTATCGCCTGGGAGCTACTCCGCACCCAGGGCCTGGCCGGTCTCTACAAGGGCCTGGGCGCCACTCTCCTCAGGTGAAGCTTTCTTCCTGAACTTGGGACACAGAAGGGCCCCGGGGAGCAGGGAGAGGGCACAGAGGGCCAGTGGGACTGCGGCCCCAATCTGTCACTGCATTCTTCCTGGAACATTCAAACCCCAGAGAGCAAACTACCTCCAGGCTTCCTATTTGGTCCAGAAGTGGGCAGAATTGCACAGGATGGGCACCTGGAAGACTAGTTTGAGGCCCCTTCTCCGGTAACCAGACCACATGAGTATGGGATGTTCTGTGGAACAAAGGCACCTAAGAATGCCCTATATACAAAGGACTTTGGATCATTTATAGGTAAATGAGCGCAGAGACCCCTCATTTTACTTTGCTACTTGGCCAAAATCCTTGAAGTTGATCAGAAGTGTGCCAGGTCAGGGGCTAGTTTTCTCCTATCACTGGGCAATAGGTCAATGAACTTCACCTTCCTGCCCACCCCACCCCCGTAACACATAGCTTCTAGAGCTCTTCACCAGCCACTCCCCCCACTCACTCTTACCTTAGCCCTGCCACCCGTTCTCGCACGCTCCCAGGCCCCCGTCCGCCGCCCGAGTCCTGCAGGTGCTGGGAGGGCAGTGATGTGCCGGGAGCGTGGGTGGGCAGGCAGCCGCCCTCTGCCGCTGCACATTATCATGGGGGCCAGGGAAAGAATAGGTTAACTGTGGGCTTAGGGAAAGGCTTCCTGCCTGAGCCCGCGGGGGTGGGGGTGGGGTCCCCCTGAGCAGCAGGCAGCTCATCCCGCTCCCTCTCCTGCTCCCTCTCCGGCAGAGACATCCCCTTCTCCATCATCTACTTCCCACTGTTTGCCAACCTTAACAACCTCGGGGTCACCGAGAGCATGGGGAAGGCTTCCTTCGCTCATTCCTTCACGTCAGGCTGCGCTGCGGGTTCCGTAGCAGCTGTCGCAGTAACACCTCTGGATGGTAAGTGCGTCAGAGATGGGGGGCCTTCAAGGGCTGGCTCACTTTCCAAGTCAGACAGCTGTACAGTTGTCTAGAAGATTGTCATCTACTTTTCGGATAGAAATGAAACCGCTCCAACCTGAAAACTCCCTTGGATCGCAACCTGTGGCCATGGCCAGAAACTCAGCAAGGGTCTTCCCAGATAAAGTGGAGCCAAGGAGACCTTGACTCTCTTATCCCTGACAAATCCCCTCACCTTCTAGGTGCTGATTTCATTAGCTTTTTGTCCCCCCAGTGGAGTTTTCAAACCTGAGGCTAAAGGCAGGAATTAAAACAGTGTGAGACCACACTTCTATCTTCAGGGCTACGCCCAGCTCCTCTGGTGCACCTTTCTAAAGTATGAGTAACCTGAAGGATCAGGTCATTTCTAATTCCTTCATTTTATAAATGAGGATCTTCTATTACAGATCACACAGTGGCAGAACTGGCCTCAGGATTCAGTTTTGTGCATGCTGGCTCTAACAGGAAACAGTTTTATGTTGGAGAGAGGGGGCCAAAAGCAAGACGTTCACTACTTTTAACTTTTGTTTTAGTTTTGAAAACTCGAATCCAAACCCTCAAAAAAGGCCTGGGTGAGGACAGCTACAGTGGGATCACCGACTGTGCCAGGTGAGGGGCCTGCAGCCCTGCAGAGGCTAGGGCTGGAACAGTCCCCCTGCCTTGCTGTCTACAATTTTATCACCATACTACGCTGAGCTCCGGCTTTCTTTGAAATCTGTTCCTTCCCCTCACCTCTCAACAAAACAGGATGTCCTGGGAGCTTTTCCTCCTTCGCATCCCTACAGCATTTCTCCCAGTCTAGTCAGACTGAGCCCATTTCCCATGGTCCAGACCCAGCTGCTTAGTAACCCAACTGTGCACACACAGTGGGTGGGGCAAGGCTCTTGTACCCCTGGGAGCCTGCTACTGCTGTGGAAATAACACCTACTCTCCAAGGGAAGATGCACAAGCGTTGGAGGGGAGCGTATCACTTAATACCGTTCGCACTGTGCTCCTGCCAATCAGCTCACAGGGCTCTTCTCTCTCCACAGGAAACTCTGGATTCAGGAGGGACCATCTGCCCTCATGAAGGGAGCAGGCTGCCGGGCCCTTGTCATAGCCCCTCTCTTTGGGATTGCCCAAGGGGTCTACTTTGTTGGTATTGGGGAGTGGATCTTAAAGTGTTGCGAGTAGAGATAGCTGGAGCCCAAGTCCCCTACCATCTCTCTAGCCCATTCGACTTAGACTAGAGGGGAACGAGCAAGGTGGCCCATCCAGGTTGTATTTTGTTCTCTAACTTGTAGTGCTACCTCAATCTCAGAAGAAACACTCTTACTCTAATAAGCAAGTTAGGTATGGTCCCATTCTCCCTTCCTATCTTCGTTCATTCTCTTTGGGGCTGCAGCTACCGGGGAGCTTCAGAAGCCCCTAACCACCTCCTTTTCAACAACAGAAACAGTACATGCTTGGGTTGGATTAACTGCAGGCCCTTAACACAGTAAAGATTTGAAGGGTCATTTCTACATTTTCCTTTTCTACTTCACACTCAAACTCTGTATACTTGAGTCAGTTTAAGGATTTAGTTTTGTTAATTCTGAATTAAATAACCTATGGTTAGTTCTAGCACTGATTTTGGGAAAAAGGAGGATCGGAAGTTCAAGGGGACAATGAAAGCCCTCTAAGTCCGCACTGAGTTGGAAACCAAGCAGATCTTTTCAAATGAGATAGCTGTGGGATTAGGCTAACCAAGCGGCCAGGGCAGGGGCCAAGTCAGGGCAGCTGTCTCCCCCCGCCCCAAGGTCCTCCCTGCGCGGCACAGCTCTCCCAGAACACTGTCCACGGAACATGGTTTTAAATAAAATGGATTCATATCTTGTCTTGTCATTAGTGGGAGAAGCAGACGGGCCGCAGAGAATGGTTTGCCCTCTACCGTCCCTGTCTGTTTCAGAACTGAGCCACGTCCGAATGAGCCCTGCAGCAGTCCCGCCACGGGACAGATGACCGCTGCGGAGGCTGGGGGACAGCCGCAGGGGTGCCTTCTCTTTAAGTTACACCAGATTTTCAGCCTCCGTTCCATCCCTGCGTAACTGCATCGCCCTTGCCGGACACGTTTGCCGTGACAGTCCCCACGTGCCTCAAGTCCTTCCCCAGAGGCCTGCTGTGGAGAGATGCCGGCAACACGGGGGCTCAGGTCCTCAGTAAACAGTGCCTGTGCCAGGGGTTGGCACTTAGTTAGTCCCCGCCTTGTCCCAAACGTCACATTTATGAAAAACGGTCAGGCTCAGTAGGCACGCTGACCATGCGTTGAGTGCGGACCGTAGAGACAAACCCGAGTTAGACTCCCACCTTTGCCCCGCTGCAAGGCCTCAGGCGGGAGGCTAGAGGAGGAGAGGAAGAAAAGGACTTTTGTGAAAGGGTTTAGGCCTGACGCACAGTAACCCTTCTCCCCCAGTAAGCTCTTAGATGCCTTCCTGACTCTGCCGAGGCTAGTAAAACTGCTTCCTCGATAAAGCGGCCAAACCCTCCGAAGGACAGGTAATGCCACCCGTGTGTGTGGTCTGTGTGAAAGCTGGTAAGGGGCTGGCAGACGTGAGCAGGGAGTGCCAGAGGATACACAGAAGGCTGATGGTTTCATGTAGTGACCGCTGTCAACCAGCGACTGTAGGGACTAGGGAAACGCTGCTCGGCTAGATACCTCAGAAAGAACTTTCCCTCGAAAACCACAAACTTGTAGCGCGCCTTGCATAATAAATCACAATGAAATCCATGTAAACTTTTTGTTTTAATAAATAAGACCGATTCATGGCTTAGATTCAAAATCACATTTACAGATGAGAAACGCTTCTAGGCCCAAACAGGTGAACAGTGAAGCTACCAGTGCTGGCAGGAATGCATGCCCCCCATGCATCTGAAGCCTAAAGAGCAGAGACTGAATGTCAGAGAACACCATACACATCACCCTCTAGACTCGAGAACTGACAGCAGAAGACGAGAGGAAGAGCAGATACTCGGGGAAGCTCCAGTAACCACCATCTGATACCCTCACCTTCATGCTACAGAAGCAAATGAAAGTTGTGCTACTTTCAGATAAGCTAAGAAGGTTTCCTGATCATAGTAAGTGAACTTTCTCTCATGTTAACAATTAGGCCAAGGAAAAAAAAAAAAAAACAATTAGGCCAAGGGCATTAGCTACAGAGAGGATCCACTGATAAATACAGAATATTAGAAGAGCGAAGAGGAAGCCACACAGATATCTTGTTTCTTCAAATATCAGAAACTTCTGCCTGACAGCAGGAGAGCAATGGATGAACTCCACCTCGCCCAAAGGTTTAGTCCAAAAACTTCCTATTGGCATTTGCACCAAATAAGGCTCCCCGTACTTCTGGCATCATCTGTAAAGAAAGAAGTTCTTTAATAAGTAAGTGTTGTCAACTGGAGAATTTGGAAAGCACAGCACATCTGTTTTTTTTTTTTTAAGATTTTATTTACTTTAGAGAGTTTAAGTCGGGGGAGGTGTGGGGAGAGAGGGAGGGAGAAGCAGACTCCACGCTGAGCAGGGAGCCTGACTGGGAGCTCGATCCCACAACCCTGAGATCATGACCTGAGCCAAAATCACAAGTCGGATGCTTAACCGACTGAGTCCCCCAGGCACCCCAACACTGCATATCTTAACTGCAAGTGGCTAGTCAGCAACCCCTATGTGGCTGGGAAGGAAACCACAAAGCTAAGTGCAGCAAGTCTGTACCTTTACTTATCCAAAAAAACTGTAACAGAATCCTTGGCGAGAAATTTACCCAGTCACAAATTTGTGGTTATGACTGACTGCTTAAAGGGGACGAGGAAAAAAACTAGAACTAAAGCCATTCAAGGCTTCTGTTAAACTGTGTTGTAGGGAGAAGAGATGATCCCTTAACAATATTATCTCCTAATATTCTGGCTCACCTATGTTCTTTCTTTCAACAGTTACTGAGTGTGATTGAGTATGTGCCAGGCAAAAACACATAATGCAAGTTTGTGCTGAGGCACTCGTACGTTACGGCTACTGAAAAATCCTCAGGATTTAACCACAAACTTCTCAGGCTGTGCTGTCCATAGAGAGGCCACTAGCCACATGTGATTACTGTGTGTCTGAAATGTGGCTAGTGCAACCATGGGACTCAATTTTTAATTTTACTTGATTTTAATTTATTCATGTGTGGGTAGCGGCTACTGAAATGGTGAACACAGCTTTAGGGTTTAAGTTACCAGAAGATGATTGTCAAGGTCAAAGTGCTTCCGCTCTAAGACAAGCTAGCAGCCACAGCAGCAGACTACCGCTGCTGAAAGAGGCTCAGCATTTTGAGACACCTGAATTTTCCTGGCTTGTTTCCTAGAGTTCATTTGTACAAACCTGGAAACATCTGAAGAGCCAGCAGCCCTATGGTAATTCCTTTAAACAGTATTTACTTTAGTTCCCATCATTCTTTTTTTTTTTTTTAAAGATTTTATTTATTTATTTGAGAGAGAGAGAATGAGAGACAGAGAGCATGAGAGGGAGGAGGGTCAGAGGGAGAAGCAGGCTCCCCGCTGAGCAGGGAGCCCGATGGGGACTCGATCCCAGGACTCCAGGATCATGACCCGAGCCGAAGGCAGTCGCTTAACCAACTGAGCCACCCAGGCGCCCTAGTTCCCATCATTCTTACTAGAGAAAGAACTCTGGGCAGCATCTCTACATGTAGTAACATGTATACATCAGAATCCTAAATCAACAAAACCCTCATTCGACCCCAAATTCCCTCTCATGTAAATGGTGTCCCCTCAGTAAATGCTACATGCCTACTGCACATTCCTTTCAAGAAAATGCCACAAAATGTAGGAAGAGTGACAAACCCCAAATACCAGTGAATGGACATATGTTCTCTGCGCCACTTCAAAGTAACAACAGACCAAGTAATAAGACCTATTCCCACACTCACCTGCTGGGCTATAAGATCCAGTCGGCTTTCTAGGGTATTGGAGACTTTTATTTTACGATCCCCATTATAGATCTCAACTCCACCAGCTCTACAAAGAACACAGGAAATAACAATTTTTATAGATTTGAGGCAGACAGACCCATGGTACATTTACTTTCTTTCCTGAGAAGAAAGCTGTTTTGGTGTGTGGAGTGTCTATGTAAGGGGCCAATAAACACATGCAAAGAGCTTAAAATTAATTCAGAAAGCTTCTGAGGACTTAAGCTATGGTTGTTGATAATAACTGTCATTTACCAAGTGACTGCTACCTGCCAATCTGGTTTTATGTTACAGCACCTAATTTAATTCTAATCAGCCCTCCCCAACAAAATGAAAAGGGGGAGGATTTAGCCCCAGTTTGTCATCAATCAAGTCCTCATCTGAATATTTCTTAAAGGCCCAATCCTGCAAATAACTGGGGGGTACTGATAAGGCCATATGCAAAACTGTATTGTGTATCAGGTTAAAGGTACCACTGTAATCTTGTGCCAGACCGGCCCTTACAAAGTCCTGCCTCTAGCCACAGCTCACTTCTGTTGTTCCTTTCCCCAAAGTTTCTAGCACTTAGAGGCTTAAGACAGATAAATCAAATTCTATTACAAGGAGCCTCCAGGAATGAAATTCTTTTGTACATTAGAATTTTATCAAATATTTTTCTTTTTTCTTTTTTTTTTTAGAAAAGACATTGGTGTTTTGTTTTTGTTCTTGTTTTTTTTTTTAATAAAGATTTACTTATTTGCCAGAGAGAGAAAGAGAGCAAGCATAAGCAGAGGGAGCTGCAGGCAAAGGGAGAAGCAGGTTCCCTGCTGAGCAAGGAGCCTGATGTGGGACTCGATCCCAGGACCCTGGGATCATGACCTGAGCGGAAGGCTCAACTGACTGAGCCACCCAGGCGTCCCCAAGTATTTCTTGAAATAAGCAGGCTATGTGACAAAGGCTGGGAAAAGGTTTTGCAAATTGTCTTTGGAAAACTTTAATGGACAATGACGTTTTCTTACTCTATCCTCCCTCCCTCTGGCATTTCTTTGGTTTCTCTAAACAGACTATATCCTTCATAAGGACATGGCTGGCTCTGCTGAAATCCTGACCCCACTGTCTGTGACAGTTTTTCTCATGGAGGGAGTAAGGGCAGGAAGACCACCACTGTGTGAGAATGTTGACTGAGGGCCAGGCACTCACTGAGTGTAAAGCCCAGGGCTGCCCATGACTTCTATCTTCCCAGTAACCTATGAGTCTCTGTTGGTATCCTCGCCACTTTACAAACAAGAAAAAAGGTCTAAAAAGATTGAATAAAATGACCTGATTGAACAAAAGAACAATATTTAAAATTCTACTTTAAATTAGCACTGGAATCAGTCCACCGTTCCTTATCTACAATTCTGAAATTCAATAAGCTATCAGAACATAAGTCTAATCTGTGTGTCTCCAAAAGCTAAACTGACCTCTAGTCATCTGGCAGCAAATGACTAGCGAATCTTTATGTATTTATCCCTTGCAGTGTGAGTGTGCCCATTCAGAAATATTAGTATTTTTGATCACCGGGGGGGGGGGGGATTGACGCCTCAGACCCTGCTAGGGTATTATGTCACAAGTGGTATACATTCTTGCTTGCTTTTCTAAACACTGGTATTCAAAACATCTGGCCCCAAAGGTTTCAGGACTGAAACCCACTCTTTACGAGACAGACCCTGAACTAAGTGTTTTCTGTCCTATCTGCTCGATCTCTACTACAATGAGTATCTGACCGCTCAATAACCACATATACTGTGGGTACCAGGCACTGTGTTAAGTGCTGTACAGACATTATCTCATTTAAGCTTCCAAGAACTCTGTGAGGTCGGTGCTATTATCCCAATTTAGAGATGAGGAAATCCAGGCTCCATGAGATTAAATAACTGGTCCAAGACTACCCAGTAAGTATGTGGCAGAGTGGAGAATCAAACCTAAATCTGATGATAATACTGAAGCTTTTTGCACTAGCTTATACACCTTCTGAGTTTATAAAGCATTTTCACATGTACGATATCCTCTCTTTTCCTCACTTCATGAAACAAAAAAGCAAAAAGCATCGATTCCATTTTACAAATGATGGAATTCAGTCTCCAGGTCCCATAGCTCACAAAAGGCCAACTCAGGACTCAAACCCAGGTCTGGTGCTCTTTCAACTAGGTTCGCGCGTCCCAAGGACTTTCTGCAATGTTAGTTAACGTGTGCCTACGTGGCATCTAACACAGGCACAATCAAGAAAATGACCTTGGCTCTGACCTCATCAGGAGTTCCTATTGCCTAGCCCGGCAGCACCAAGCTTATCAGGGATGCTGAAGAAATGGCCTGTCATTTCCTCACAGCACAAGCACCACTGGTATTTGCAATTCTGTATCTACGGAACCTATTAGGTTCTATTCGTTTCTATAGTAGTTACTATCATACGTGATGACTTGTCTTATTTCATAGAAACTTAGAGGTAGCGATTATCTTCCCCAGCATCTAACACAGAGATCTGGACCCAGCTTTGAGTTCTGGGTAAAGAATTAGTGCTGCCTCTCTGCAGAATAAACTAAGCGACCACAGGAAGCCAGCTCCTTTTAGGGCGTGTCTGGTTGGTTAACAAGAGAGAACAGCACAGTACTGAGAGGGGACACAGCCAGAGTCACAGGTGGCACAAAGCCACACCACTGTTCTTCTGGGGAAGAGTGCTTCAGAGAAAACTCAACAAGACCCAGCATGAAGGCCATTCTCGTAGTGAAAGCAGCTTAGATGTTAAGAGGAGGAATACTCCTTACATTTCCTCAGGCAGGTAGGCCTCCTGATCAATTTGGACATCAACATCTTTTTTGGTGGCGATTTTATACATAGGAATCGCTTTTTGCACTGCAGCCTGGAAAAACAGAAAACAATGAAAGGTTTTAGCAGAAACTACAGAGCAAGTATCCAAAAAAAAAAAATCAGCCAACTATACAAGCAAGGCATATTCCTATTTATTTATCAAGTAAAAGAATGCATTGCTGATGGAAATGTAAAATGGTACAGCTGTTGTGGAAAATGGTATGGCAGTTCCTCAAAAAAATTAAACACTGAATTACCATATGATTCAGCAATTCTACCTCTGGGTATATACCCAAAAGTGAAAGCAGAGATTTGAATGGCTAATAGTACAACCATGTTCACAGCAGCTTCATTCACAACAGCCAAAAGGTAGGTAGAAACAACCCAAGTGTCTAACAGATAAACAAAATGTGTACACAATTCAGATGCATACAATTCAGCCTTAGAAAGGATGGAAATTCTGACGAGGCTCACATGAGGAACCTTGAAGACATCATGCAAGGTGAAACAGGCTAGTCACAGGACAGATGTTGTATGATTCCACTAGCATGAGGTACCTAGTGTAGGCAAATTCAGGAAGATAGGAAGTAGGGTGGTGGCTGCTGGGGGGGTGGGGAACAGGGAGTTAGTGTTTAATGGGGACAGAATCTCAGTTCAGGACAGTGAACGTGTTCTGGAAAGGGATGGGGCCACGACGACTGCACAACAATGTGCACATACTTAGTGCCACTCTACACCTGAAATGGTCAAGTTTATACTGTTGACTGTACATCTTACAATTTTAAAAACAAATGAGCACATCAGGAAAAAAAATAATGCTATACTGTAATTAATGTGATAAAACATAATTAGTGGAAAGTCCTATCTAAATAATAATGTGCATGAGTAGACATATAAATAACATTTTCTTAAAGGAACTTTAGTTGGCAACTCAGACGTGCCTCCAAAGAATGCTTATCACCTTGGGGAACTCCCTAATATGTCTAGCTCTCTGTTTTATAGGTTCATAAATGAGGCTGTCAGCACACACATGGATCCAGGTTACTGGCATAGTTTACAAACGAGAATCACACTTTATTAATTTCCAGTGCAGAGTGAGGGGAATGAGCACCTGTATTCTTCAGCTGGCAAGTTTTCTTTCCTAGGAGACAAGTTACTTGGGAGACAAATTATAATAAGAGCGTGAATATATTATGTATTCTAAGTATATTAATTTATAGTAAGAAACGTAATTGCTAAGGGACTAAGCACTCAATCCTTGCCTGAAAGCAAGCTGCATGGAAGAATTTTATTTTTAAAATAATTTTTTTGGGGCGCCTGGGTGGCTCAGTTGGTTAAGCGACTGCCTTCGGCTCAGGTCATGATCCTGGAGTCCCGGGATCGAGTCCCGCATCGGGCTCCCTGCTCAATGAGGAGCCTGCTTCTCCCTCTGACCCTCCCCCCTCTCATGTACTCTCATTCTCGCTCTCTCAAATAAATAAATCTTTAAAAAAATAAAAACAAATAAAATAAAATAATTTTTTTTTTTAAGATTCTATTTATTTCATTTGACAGAGAGAGAGAGAGAGAGAGAGAGAGAGCAGGGGGAGTGGGAGAGGGAGAAGCAGGCTTCCCGGAGAGCAGGGAGCCCGACATCCTGGGATCATGACCTGAGTCGAAGGCAGATGCTTAACGACTGAGCCACCCAGGCGCCCCTTATTATTATTTTTTAAAAGTTTTGTTTATTTAAGTACTCTCTACAGCCAACACGGGGCTCGAACTCACAACCCTGAGATCAAGTGTCTCATGCTCTCCTAACTGAGCCAGCCAGGCGCCCCACAGGGAAGAATTTTCACCTGAAGAGCGACTCGATGACAGAGAGTTGGAGCTCGGTGAGTTCATTCTGATTTGTGGGTCCTTCAGTCTAGGGTACCCGTCTAATGCTACAGCCCGTATGGACCCCCTGTGGCGCCAGCAGCCGGCCCCAGACCAGGCAACTTCTCCCTTAGGCGACGGAGGAACACCTTAGCATTTGCCTCTGGGACTGCAGCTCACTTTCTTTGTACCCACTTTCTTTCCCCACTACAGGAATACATTAGGTTATAGCCAAGCCTTGCTAGTCTGGGAGTAGTTTGTCACTTTTAGATGGCATGGCCTATCTTTGCTCCAATCCAGTATGTGCTGTTTTCATTGCTGAATTTTCAGAAGATTATGGCGTTACAGAGCTCCCAGAAAGGGAGGAGGGTACTAACTCTATGACCTCTTCATGAAAAGAAATTAGAGACTTAGGTACACTTAAGTTACTATCTGTAATGTGTTAAGATACCTCTAATTTCCATGGTTGAGCTATCCTCCATTAAAGCACGCATTTCATCTCTAACATTTTGATGTATTTAAAAAAAGAAAATGGATTTCTTCTTTAAGCTCTTTACCTTTACCAGAGGGAAATCCTGCTTCCTGCAACGAACAATCATTCGGGGCTCTAACAATTGGTACAAACCCTGTAAGACATAATCAGATGCAATTATTAGGAAATGCAATTTATAAAATCCAACAGCAAAATAAAATATTTTTATAATTCTTTCATGTAGTTTGGAAAAAGAATACACAGTATGAGAACATGGAAAGAAGCTTTTGATCTCACAAACAAGATAAATATACTCCGGTGGCAGAAACAAAATTTATATGGAAATCTTCAAGTGGAAGCCAAATGTTACTGTAATTAACCTAAGTAAAATAAGAATTCACAAGCAAGCAGCAAACATTTAAAATGTATACTGTCTTTGGTCTGAACCCCAAAATCTAAAGCAAGTATTTTAGCAATGAAATCAAATTAGGGAAGTTTTGTTTTTGTTTGTTTTAAGAGAGGGGGAGAGTGAGACAGAGAAGGGAGGGAGAGAGAGAATCTTAAGCAGGCTCCACACCCAGTGCAGAACCTGGCGGGGGGCTCGATCTCACAACCCTGAGATCATGACCTGAGCCAAAATCAAGAGTCGGACACTTAACCAACTGTGCCACCCAGGTGCCCCTCAAATTAGGGAAGTTTAAAGCTGGAGGTCGCAAGCAAATTTGACCCCTGAGTTCTAAAGGACTAATAAGACTATATAAAAGGGTAGGAAAGTCTGGAGGTCTTATCCAATCAGATATTACTGTCCCCCCAACACATGACAAGGACAAGCACAAGGAAGAAGGCTAAGATGACAAAATAGGGGGGAAAAAAACCCACAACAGAGCTGGTCTGTAACACATCTTATCAATTTTTTAAGAACTGTGGCTATCAGTGGTAGGTCTAACCTAGAAATTACCTGAAGGACCAGTCCATCCAGCAGCACCTGGTACCTGGTTGTATCTTTTACCACTTTGCTGAGTCTCTGTTTTGCTTCATTTAGAAGGTCCTACAAAGAGTAGAAAAGAAAAAAGTTATCTACAGGTAGTCAGGGTAGTCAGCTCAGAACCCACTGTGAGGGTGGTCCTGGCTCATGCCCAATCACTTCACATTAATGTTTTCATTCAATACACATTCCAAGATATATGATAAACCACATGCTGTGCTAAGTACTATACACTGATACAAGGAAGCAGGAAGCAACATCACAGCTCCCAGGGAGTTCACGCTCAAGCAGAATAGCCCAGATTATCAATATCAGTTCAGAAACCTACAAAACTGACTAACATGGAAAGAGCTACATGATACAGATTTAAAAAGCAAGCTATTAAGACTGTAGTGCAGAGACACCGGGTGGCTCAATTGGTTAAGCATCTGCCTTCAGCTCAGGTCATTATCTCAGGGTCCTGGGATGGAGCCTCATGTGGGGCTCCCTGCTTGGCAGGGAGCCTGCTTCTCCCTCTCGCTCTGCTGCTTCCCCTGCTTGTGCTCTTTCTCTCTCTCAAATAAATAAATATCTTCAAAAAAAAAAAAAAAAAGACTTGTGCAAGATGAGAGATGGAGGGAGAGAGAGAGACAGCATGAGCACAAGCAAGGGGATCGGCAGGGAGAGGGAGAAGCAGGCTCCCAATGAGCAAGGAGCCCGATGCGGGACTCAATCCCAGGACCCTGGGATCATGACCTGAGCCGAAGGCAGACACTTAACTGAGCCACCCAGGTGCCCGATTTCAATTTTCTTTATGCTAATTTGTATTTTTTAATTTGTCTATAATAAACATTGACTTCTATAATAAAAATAACTAAAATAAAAATTAAAAGGGATTATCAGGAAACAAATTGCTTATGGTTGAGAGAATACAATGGAAATTACTCATTAAGTAATAAGCATTTACTGGCTTACTGGTGAAAAGAGGTCAGGTCTTTTAAAAGGCAGAGATAATGCCTCTGAATCAAATTGTTCTACAGTCTATTCTACTTAGTATGATCTCTGGAAAGCTATGTTTCTTGGTACTTTAAGGAAGAAGGAGAGACACATGCTCACCTAGAGGCCAATCAGTTTGGGCAGAGAGGGTGGAGAGGAAGAAGTAGCCCTCCATGCTGAAAAGCCCTTTATCTGTTTCTGAGAGCTACCCTTGATCCCCACCCCTCTGAGACCACTGCCGTGCAAGACGCCTGAAGCGAGCTCTCTGCTCCATGGTTCGCGCGGAGGCGAGGGCACTCTTGACACTCACTCACTCATGCAGCTAATGTCAAGTGAACATTTATTTCATCTGACATCTACTAAGTACAAATAGACCAAGATTTTTTTTTTTTTAATCAGAAGTACTGGGGCACCTGGGTGGCTCATTTGGTCAAGTGTCTGCCTTCGGCTCAGGTCATGATCTCAAGATCCTGGGATTGAGCCCCGCATCAGGCTCTCTGCTCAGCAGGAAGCCTGCTTTTCCCTCTCCCACTCCCCCTGCTTGTGTTCCCTCTCTCTCTGTCAAATAAATAAAATCTTCCAAAAAAAAAAATCAGAAGTACTCACTTTAGGGCCAATTAAAAAAAAAACTTTTAATAAGAAGTAAAATAGATTCCAAGCCTTCAACAGCAGGTATAGAAGACTGGTGGCCCTCTGCCTCTACAGACTGACTTTGCAAGGCAATAACTTCCTGTCAATTCTGACATTAGACAGCGAATAAAAGTCCACACACATACTTTCACATGAAAACTCGCTCTAATGTACTAACAAACTAAGAAAAATTTTAAATAATAATGAGCATTTAAAATTTTAAAAAAAATTTTAAATAATGAGCATGTAGATTTCTAATCTGTAGCTGGCCACCCCCAAGAATTTTATGAAGGTGTTCTGAGACACCAGGTCATTAGAGACTATAATGCAACTAGTTCAAATTTCTGTTATTTATTTATTTTAAGGATTTTTTTAAATTTATTTGATAGAGAGAGACACAGCGAGAGAGGGAACACAAGCAGGAGGAGTAGGAGAGGGAGAAACAGGCTTCCTGCCGAGCAGGGAGCCCGATGTGGGGCTCGATCCCGGGACCCTGAGATCATGACCTGAGCCGAAGGCAGACGCTTAATGACTGAGCCACCCAGGCGCCCCTAAAATTTCTGTTTTCTAAAAAGCAAATAAGGGCGCCTGGGTGGCTCAGTTGGTTAAGTGACTGCCTTCGGCTAGGTCATGATCCTGGAGTCCCGGGATCGGGTCCCACATCGGGCTCCCTGTTCGGCAGGGAGTCTGCTTCTCCCTCTGACCCTCCTCCCTCTCATGCTCTCTATCATTCTCTCTCTCAATAAATAAAAATCTTTAAAATAAATAAATAAATAAATAAATAAAAAGTAAGCAAGATGGTTAAAAAAGAAACATTCTACTTCACATATTATTATTTTTTTTTAAAGATTTTATTTATTTATTTGAGAGAGAGAATGACATAGAGATAGCATGAGAGGGGGGAGGGTCAGAGGGAGAAGCAGACTCCCCGCCGGGCAGGGAGCCCGATGTGGGACTCGATCCCGGGACTCCAGGATCATGACCTGAGCTGAAGGCAGTCGCTTAACCAACTGAGCCACCCAGGCGCCCCACATATTATTCTATACCTTAAGATTATCTTCACTGAATTCAACAACTGTCCAAAAAAAAAAAAAATCCTTATGAGGTGCCTGGGTGGCTCAGTCGGTTAAGCACCCAGTACTGGACTCTTGGTTTCTGCTCAGGTCAGGAGATCAAGCCCTGCCCCACATTAGGCACCGCACTCAATAGGGCCCCATTTTGTTTTGATGATGAAAACCAAAATACATTTAAAGTTAACAATGAGGGGGCGCCTGGGTGGCTCAGTCGGTTAAGCATCTGCCTTCGGCTCAGGTCATGATTCCAGGGTCCTGGGATCGAGCCCCATATCAGGCTCCCTGCTCAGCGGGGAGTCTGCCTCTCCTTCTCCCTCTGCCTGCCACTCTGTCTACTTGGGCTATCTCTCTGTCAAAGAAATAAATAAAATCTTAAAAAAAATTAAAAAACAAAAATAAAGTTAACAACGGGGTGCCTTGCTGGCTCAGTCGGCAGAGCTTTCAACCTTTGATCTTGGGGCTGTGAGTTCAAGCCCCACGTTGGGTGTTGAGATTACATAAAATCTTTTTTTTTTTTTTAAAGATTTTTTATTTATTTGACAGAGAGAGACACAGCGAGAGAGGGAACAGAAGCAGGGGGAGTGGGAGAGGGAGAAGCAGGCTTCCTGCAGAGCAGAGAGCCCGATGCGGGGCTCAATCCCAGGACCCTGGGATCATGACCTGAGCCGAAGGCAGGCACTTAACGACTGAGCCACCCAGGCGCCCCAAAAAATAAAATCTTTAAAAAAAAAGTTCCAAATGCCCAAAAGGAAATCATTTTTCTTCTTCTAAATATGTAATTATTAGATGATAGTCACTTTTTCCCCCCATTTTTCCCATGGTGGGATCATCTCAGGTTGGCTTTATTTCCATTTATTGATCCTCAGCCAGCTTTTGCTTTAAAGCACTTAGCTGACTAGCTGACAGAGCCTACAGTAACTGCTGAGAGGAATCTGCTAAAGAAACTGTACCGCCATTACCATTTCCACTAAATGAAGTTTGATTAGCTTTAAGATGTTCTAGTCCCTGAGGGTGCAAGAGAAAGGACAGCCTCAAAATCTCCCCCACAGCAACAGTCATTGTTAAATATATTCTGCACAAAGCAGACTAAACCATCAGAGCAAGAAACATTTTTTTTCAAAGATTTTATTTGTCAGAGTGACAGAGAGCACAAGCAGGGGGAGCTGCAGGCAGAGGGACAAGCAGGCTCCCCGCTGAGCAGGAAGCCCAATGCAGGGCTCAATCCCAGGACCCTGGGAGCATGACCTGAGCCGAAGGCAGACGCTTAACCCACTGAGTCACCCAGGCGTCCCACAGCAAGAAATATTTAAACAGTAATTCATCTCCTCACAAAGATCTAGAGTCTGAAGACAGGGTTGTAATTCTGAGTTAGCCCAGACACTGAAAGGATGACAACAGTAATGTGAAAACCATTCTTTAAATTCAAAGGTGTGTAACACACACACACACATTTTTAAGATTTGGGAGAGAGGCAGAGAGTGTGCATGGGGGGAGCGGGGGGAGTGGCAGAGGGAGAGAGTCTTAACCAGACTCCATGCTGTGTGTGGAGCCCAACTCGGGGAGAGGCCCTCTATGTGGGCCTCGATCTCAGGACCCTGACAATCAGGGCCCTAGCTGAAACCAAGAGTCGGGCACCCAACTGAGTGAGCCACCAAGGCACCCCAGGAAGAGTATATATTAAAAAAAATGGGGGGGAGGCATGTGGCTGGCTCAGTTGGTAGAGCATGCGACTCTTGATTTTGCGATTATGAGTTTGAGCCCATTTGGGGTAGAGATTACTTTAAAAAAAAATCTTAAAAAAGGGGGAACGAAAAAAGTGAGAAAATTTATTTTGGGGGGTTAAAAAAAACTGGGTAGAACATGATGCCCTGAGAGTATTTATTTATTTATTTATTTATTTATTTAGACAGAGAGTGCACTCACATGCGCATGAGCAAGGGGGTGGGGAGAGCAGAGGGAGAAGAGAGAGAATCTCAAACAGGCTCCATTGTCAGCATGGAGCCCAAGGCAGGGCTATATCTCACAACTGTGAGATCATGACCTGAGCTGAAACCAAGAGTCTGCTGCCTAAAGGACTGAGCCACCCTGGGCGCCCCGACAGAACTTTTTTTTTTTTTTTAGATTTTATTTATTTATTTGAGGGAGAGAGCACATGAGTGGGGGGAGGGTCAGAGGGAGAAGCAGACTCCCCACCAAGCAGGGAGCCCGATGCGGGACTTGATCCAGGGACTCCAGGATCATGACCTGAGCCGAAGGCAGTCACTTAACCAACTGAGCCACCCAGGCGCCCCCGGAAAGAATATTTTTAGAAATAAAATTTCTGGGGGCGCCTGGGTGGTTCAGTTAAGTGTCTGCCTTCAGCTCAGGTGAAGATCCCAGGGTTCT